CTTGGCTCAATCTGGGAGGAGGGGACTGGACCTGCCTGGACTGAGTCTATCAGGTCGATCCCAGTCCTCGGGGGAGACCTTGATCTGGAGGATGTGGGAATGGGAGGTGTGCTGGGGGGAAGGGGATGGGGGCAGGAAGGGAGAGAACAAGGGAATCTGTGGCTATTATGTAGAACTGAATAGTATTGTAAAATAAATAATAAAAAAATAAAAATTAAAAAAAATTTTAAAAAAATTGAAAATAAAATAATTGCATAGGAAGAAAGAGAACAACCACAAAATTATAAGGGATCTACAAAAAAAACCACCCTAGAGCTAACATATTTAATGACTAAAACTAAAAGCCTGAGGATGGTGATGTACACTTGTTATCCCAGCACTTGGAGCCTAAGGCAGAAAAATTGTGAGTACAGGGGCAGGCAAAAATATATAGCAAGATCCTATCTCAGTTGATGATAATGATAAAGATAAAAGAAAGCTGACCATGGTGGCACATGCCTTTAATCTCTGCATTCAGGAGTCAGAGGTAGGCAGATCTCTATGCATTCAAGGCCAGCCTGGTCTACCTAGGAGTTCCAGGCCAGTCAGGGCTACTTAGTGAGACCCTGTCTCAAACAAAACAAAATAAAATAATCATCATTGTCATCTAAAATTCTTTCCCTATAAAATCAGGAATAAGCTGGGCAGTGGTGGCTCACACCTTTAATCCCAGCACTTGGGAGGCAGAGGCAGGCAGCTCTCTGTGAGTTCAAGGCCAGCCTGGGCTATGAAGTGAGTTCCAGGAAAGGTGCAAAGCTACACAGAGAAACCCTGTCTTGAAAAAAAAAAATCAGGAATAAGACAAGTGCCCATCACTTCTCAATATTGTATGATGTGATGGTTTGAATGAGAATGGCCCCATAGGCTCATATATTTGAATACCTGGTGTCCAGTTGGTGACTATTTGGGAGGGATTAGTAGGTGTGGCTCATTGGAGGAGGTTTGGGGATGGTTTGGGGGTTTCAAAAGACTTACATGATTCCCAGTAAGCAATCTCCCTCCCCCTCTCTCAGTTATGGATCAAGATGTGAGCTCTCAGATATTCCTTTGCTCCATGGTGGGCTCTCTCTGAAACCATAAGCCAAATTAAAAACTTTCTAAGTTGCCTTGGAGATGGTGTCTTATCACAGCAACAGAAAAGGAACTAAAACAGGGCAGTATATTGGAAAAGTAGGTCAAAGTTGGAAAAGACTACAGTGACCAAGACAATGCTATGTTGTCATCAAAAGAAGCAAATATATAAATGAAACAGAATAGAGAGATGAAAAGAAGACCTAATGGCTGAAGAGGGAAAACGAAAAGATACACACTGTTATGGAATATTTAACTATGTAAAGATGTGTTGCATTTGTTTAACTATGTAAAGATATGTTGCATTTGTTTAATTATGTAAAGATGTGTTGCAGTTTTACCTTGCCTGCCTAAGGCACCTGATAGGTCTAATAAAAAGCTGAACAGCCAATAGTGAGGGAGGAGGTATAGGCAAGACTTCCAGGCAGGAAGAGTAAATAGGAGGAGGGATTTGTGAGGGGGGGAGGAGAAAAAGAAATGTCAGGGTGTAACACGAATCTTAAAAGGTCTTATTAATAAAAAACAAACCTGGAGCCAGGTACTGGGGTCAACACTGGAAGATCAGAGACAAAGAACAGGTCACAGCCACCTCACCTCGACAACTCAGCTGATCCTGTTTCCTCAGACTGGAAGCTTCTGAGTCCTCATCCGAATGGATCTCAGCTGAACTGCTGCTCAAAAACCTGAAAGCTTAACCAGCTCTAGTTCCTGGTCCTCATGCCTTATATACCTTTCTGCTTCCTGCCATCACTCCCTGGGATTAAAGGCATGTGTCACCACACCTGGCTGTTTCCAGTGTGGCTTTGAACTCACAGAGATCCAAATGGATCTCTGTCTCTAGAATGCCAAGATTAAAGGCATGTGCTACTATTGCCTAGCCTCTATGTCTAATATTGTGGCTGTTCTGTTCTCTGACCCCCAGATAAGTTTATTAGGGTGCACAATATATTAGAGAACATGATATCACCACACCAGGGGCCAGATAGACAGACACAGAGGAAGCAGCAAAGTAAGACATACAGAGTGAAAGAGGCCCCAAGGCGAAACATAGATGAATACAAACAGGACAAATTAAGTTAAAAGAGCCAAGCATTCATAATTAATAATAAGTCTCCATCTTTATTTGGGAGCTGGTTGGTGGCCCAAAGAAAATTCCAACTACAAAACACAGGATGGAAAATAATAGTAAACCAATATGTATCTGAAAAAAAAATCCTAGATATAGGTTATATGAAGAACTTTCAAAATTCAACTGTGAGAACAAAAACCTACTTTTTAAAAACTGATCAAAATATTTGTACACCACAAAGAGTCATAAAGACACGGGAAATAAACACATGAAAAGGATATATATGAAAAAGCTTATGGAGTCCCACTGTTTTCATAAGCTAATTAAAAACATGGTTTTTAAAAAGGAAGTTTGAACACCCCTGTATGAGTAGATAATGCTTCTCCCAGAATACATGGGTTATTAAATGAAAACCTCAGTGCCAAGTGTGGGATGCCTCCTGGAATATTGATCATGAAGGCCCAAGAGGCCCCCAAGACAACACAAGCTATTGCCATTGCTTTTGGTTGTCCTCCATAGTTAGATGGATGATCCTGTTGTTCAAGGTATTATACACTTTGGTTGGAGAACATATAGGAATCAAGTTGGAACTTACTTGGAAACTTCCTCTCTAGTGGCTAGCTTTTATAGAGCCAGAAGGTGCTATGAAAGCTGCTCAGGGAGAAAAGTCATCAATGGACTTACCCAAAGTAGACCCTACATACTGTATTACCAACCTGCAAAGCAAGATGTGCCTACTGGTATAATAGTGGTTTGACTGTTACAGGGTAACTGCTTTCTGCTTGAATTTATGGCCTGCTCCCCTGGTCATATAAATCTAGTCAAAGTCCCATGAGTGTACAGGTTATAGACCCTAGAGGGAAACCTACTACTGTTGTTTTGCTAAAGAGATGTATTGTTAAACTACCTTCTAAACATTTGTTTATAGCCATAGATTAGTGCTGCTTTCGTTACAAAAGCTTCTTTTGCAGTGGGCAGTAGTCAATTACAAGTATTGCCTCATTTAATGCTTGTTGCAAATCTCTGTGGTGCTTTTAGTATCTCATTGCTTATAGGAAAACTAAATCTCAGAACAGGTAGCTAGCTTCCCTAGGCCACATGACTAACACAAGCTCAAATGAGAAAACACACTCAGATCCAAAATCCAGAGGCCAGGCTTTTGTCTATATGAATTTCAGACCAGGTACTGAACAAGGGTAAGCAAAGGCATTTTTAAAAGGCCACCTGTGGTTCCTACCATCAGAAGTCAGGGGGGAATAGCTACAATAGTCACAGATGGAGAATGACCTGCTCAGTACCACTCAACTCCAAAACAGCGTTGTATTGGGCTCTGTCTCAATTGGATCTTGTAGTTTTTCCACAACTATTCCTGTCTCTGGCCATTGGGGCTGTTCATGAAAATGAGAGTTCTAAGGAACTCTCAGTATAGAAACAGGGACAGTCCTGTCACACTTGGATGGTTGGCCTCCTCAGTGTCTACCCAAATTCTGATACTGCTGCAAGGCCAGGCAGAAGTGGTCAGACTCAGACAAGACATTCCCAAGTGGTTCTCAAAAGAGTGGCATGAAGCCAGCTGTTGTTACCTGCTTTGCCACCATATGGTGTGAGCTGAGCTGCTTCTGGCCCTTCCTGCAAAAGCATGGGTAAAGGTTGGTTGTACATTTGAAGCAATTCATAATTAATTCATGCTGCTTGAAATGTCCCACCAAGTCAGCCTCATTCATCACATGGTTAATGAAAGGACTGATTTTAAGAACATCTTTGATCACTACAAAAATGATGAAGACTTCCTCCTCTCACCGTACTCTAGGAATGAGCAATGTGTCTCCCCACAGCTGAACACTTTCAGTTCTCCCTGAAAATGTGCACACTGCAGTCTTGTGTTTAATTAGTCTCTTTCTTTGGGTGGAATAATTGTGTTCCTGCTCTGGGTTCCATTGGTAAGCTCACTTACTTTGAAAATAGCAGGCTTTATTGATACACTAACTTATTGCAGAGCCATATGGTTCACTCAGAACAGAGCAACAATGCAGAAGGCCTCACCCAGAAGGGAAAAGCCAACAGGTTGGTTGCAGGCAGCCAGCTGACTTTTAATTGACCATCTACTACGTATTAGCAATTAGCTGAGGCACTGGGGATGGAGGATGAGGCAGTTACAGGGACAAGCAAGAGGCAAAGGCACAGAATTTCTCTTGGCCACAGCACTACTTCTCAGCTATCACTAATGAGAAGCTAGGATTAAGAAGCAGTGGGTAGCTTCACATCAGCTTTATTACCCTGAAAATTGTCTAATAATGGAAAGAGGAGATGAGTTTTGGACACCTGCTAAGCCTGTGGCTTTGATGCATCACTGAAATTCCCTAAGAAGAATGGAAGAGAAAGAGCCTGGTCCCAGCATAAACTCCAACAAGATGCATCATAGTCCCAGTGCATGCTGGGAGTAAGAGGTAATTTAAATGTCATCCTGAAGAACCTGGGTGATGAGGGCTACTTCAGTAACATAAAGGGCTCAACCCAAGAAAATCTAAAGAGCCCAACATCCAAACACTGAGCAGCTTGCAATATCTGATCCAATGTCCTACTAGTAATAGTTTCATTACTCACCCGAACATCTGCTAACGAGGTGGCTAACTATGGGGCTTTCATTTGGGACACACATTTATCATCTGATTAGGAAGTGATGATCTATTTTTAGATAAAGCATATATCCCCTAACAGGGATGGACAGTTATAAATAACTTGGAAAACTCTAGCCGATGCCCAAAACATCATGATTTAGGTTGAAAGAAAAAGCCTTTCTGATCACTGTCCTTTTGCCTCTCCCAGCACATTCTTCATGCTTAGTTGCTGTCATCACAGATAAGTGATCACATTGGCTGTATCTCATCTCCTCACCAGCTAAAGTTTGGGGGAGAAACATCATGATCAGACAGATAGAATCAATACCCGAGGGAGAAGAGGCAGGGGTCTGGGACCTTTGCCCTGCAATTGGTTAATTACTCCCACTCCAATTTATGTCTGGCAGAGATTGGAAGAACCACAGGAACAACTTTAAATTGGGCCTCTAGGGACTGGAGGGACATCTCCATGCATGAAAGTACTTATTGCTCTACAGAGAATCTGGGTTCAGTTCCCAGCACCTACATATATGCTTGCAAAACATTCATACACATAAATTAAAAAATAAATGAGTACCAAACACTTTTTAAAAACTAAAATTAGGCCTCTATTCAAGCTGTCTGATGGAAGAATGACTTTGCTATAGTTTGGATCTTCTTTTTTTAAAGATTTACTTATTTATTATATATACAGTATTCTGCCTACATGTATACCTGCATGCCAAAAGAAGGCACCAGATCTCATAAATATTCTCTACTAGTTGAAGTATTTACCCTCAACCCAGAAACACTTGGGAGGTGGTGAAACCTTTAAGAGGTAGACATAGTTGAAGGAAGTTATTGTCACTGGGGATGGGTCCTTGAAGGGGACATTCAAAACCCGTGTCTTTCATTTTTCTCCCTTTTAAAAGTTATGTAATTTTATTATTGGCAGGGGTGTCGCAGCATATGTGTGGAGAACAGACAACAAATCTGTAGAGTTAGTTCTCTTTCACCTTTACATGGGTTCTAGGGATCCAATTCGGGCCATGAGGCTTGATCAGCTGAATTCTCACCTGTCCCATTTTTCTCCCTTTGTTCCCTAACATCCATGAGGTATAGTCCTCCTGTGCCATGTGCTCCCACCATGATATACTTACTAAAGCAACAGTATCAACCAACCATGAATGGAAACCTCTGAAACCATGAGCCAAAATAAGCCTTTATTCCAAACAACTTATTTCATCACAGTGATGGGAAGTTGGCTTACACAGACTTGAAAGTCCAGTGAAAGAAGACAAGCTTTTCCTTCCTCATTGAAGTGGAGCCCTGGCCCTTTTATGGGGTTCCTGAATTCCTTAGACATTGAAGTTGAGAGATTCTAATGAAGAATAGTGAATAACAAGTGACCAGAGCTAGGCATTTTTTAACAACAACAAAAGAGTAACATTAGATTAAAACTGAAAGTGTAAAATGTGGACGGCCCAAAGCAGTTTGACCACATAGCTGCCATGACAGGCTTACTGGCAGGCAACATCCCAACCAGGAAAAGCCATAAGCTGACACCACCCATGGATCTACCCAGGGATGGTCCAACATCTGAGGGAAAGAACCTGACATCCAAAACATTCCAACTGTCAGATAAGATTAGATAAGAGCACCAGATGTCCCTGGGCCTACCACATAGCTAGTTCCCTTTTACAGACACCCCTAGACAAATGTCTGCCAATCAGGATCCTGAGCCCTGGAAATCCCCTCTCCCCAACCTCTACTATGATAAAAACCCCACCCTGCCTGGGCTCAGGGCTCTCTGTTCTCACCACTGCTTTGGACAGAGAGTCCAAGCTCTCTTTGAAATAAAGGCTCTTTGCTTTTATATATAGGATTCAGTCTCCATGGTGGTCTTTTGGGGGTCCCCATGATCTGAGCATAACATAAATACTCATGCATCTAGAAGAGACTTCCATCTATGAAGATGAAATACACATACTTTTCTCTGCTTCTCTCAACACACAGCTAAAAACCCTGCACTAAATATAAAGAATGCATAGGAAAACCAAATTGTGGGGGAAGGAAGGCAGCTATATTAGTTACTTTTCTCATTGCTATAACTAAATACTGATAAAACATACCTTAAGAGAGAAAGATTTATTTCCATCCTAAAAGGGAAAAATTGGGGACAAAGTAACACTGAAATCCAACACAACAAACATGGGACATCACAGTGCCATGTCCAGTATCTAGAGCTTGTGATGGCATCATGTTTCAACGTGCTTGGGTAGCCCTACTCCACAGCTGTGCTGTCTTAGACACATGTGGCCTCTCTCATGAGTCAACCCCACTACATACCTGGAGACTTCATGAATGCCCATGTTTCTGGCATCTCTAATACCCTGAGGTCTCTACTACAACTTGGATTTTACCTTTGAAGCTTCCTGCACAGCCCATTCAGGAGTTCCATGCAAGAAATCCAATCCTGCTGGTGTCAGCATCTTCTTGGAACCTTGGTGCATTCCTACAAAATTAGCACGGTTTAGACAATGCCAAGTTCTGCTGCTCACCTGAGATGTAGCCTGACCCCTTTGGACCACAGCTATGGTAGCCTTTGGATGCCTTGTCTCTGAACCTAGACAAACACTTCCTTGGGTGGCTGTTTTAGAATGGGGAACCCATGTGGTAGCATTTTCAATTTAGGCTCTCTCCTTTAGAATGAATTTGCATTGTTATGTTGGAGCCTTAGGTGGGTGGAGTTTTGCCTTTTGGGCACCTTTCTTATAATCCCAGTGCATTTTTCATGGTATCTCTTTCCTTGTTCTCCCACCCTGTTCCTGATCCAGCTGGGACCTCCTGCTCCCCTAAGCTCTCTTTCCCTCAACGCTTGCCCTCCATTATCCCACCCCACCCCCAGTTTGCTCATGTAGATCTCATCCATTTTTCTGTCATTGGGCGACCCCTGTGTCTTTCTTAGGGTCCTCTTTACTAGGTAGCCTCCCTGGAGTTGTCAGTTGCAGTCTGGTTATCCTTTGCTTTACATCTAGTATCCACTTATGAGTGAGTACATACTATGTTTGTCCTTCTGAGTCTGGGTTACCTCACTCAGGATGGTATTTTCTAGTTCCATCCATTTGCCTTCAAACCTCATGATGTCATTGTTTATCTCTGCTGAGTAGTACTCCATTGTGTATATGTACCATATTTTATTTATCCATTCTTCAGTTGAAGGGCATCTAGGTTGTTTCTAGGTTCTGGCTATTAAAAATAATGCTGCTATGTACATAGTTGAGTATGTGTCCTTGTGTTATAATTGAGCATTCCTTGGGTATATGCCCAAGAGTAGTATAGCTGAGTCTTGAGGGAGGTTGATTCCCAATTTTCTAAGAAAGCGCCATATTGATTTCCAGAGTGGCTGTACAAGTTTGCATTCCCACCAACAGTGGAGGAGTGTTCCCCTTCCTCCACAGACCCCATGGGAATAGAAAGAAGCAGGGTGCTAGAGAGGTCCCCAGAAATCCACAAAGATACCTATAGTCTACTAGCAATGGTCAAGAGAAAGCCCGAGCTGACCTACTCTGGTGATTGGATGACTGAACACCCTAACTGTTATGACAGAACTCTCATACAGTGACTGATGGAAGCAGATGCAGAGATCCATGGCCAAGCCCCAGGTAGATCTCCGGGAGTCCAATTGGAGAGAAAAAGGAGGGATTGTATGAGCGAGAGATATCGAGACCATAATTGGAAAAAGCACAGGGACAAATAGCCAAACTAGTGGAAACACATGAACTGTGAACCAATAGCTGAGGAGCCCCCATGGAACTAGACCAGGCCCTCTGGATAAGTGAGACAGTTGATTAGCTTGAACTACTGTTTAGGAGGCCCCCAGGCAGTGGAACCAGGACCTGTCCCTAGTGCATGAGCTGGCTTTTTAGAACCTAGGGCCTATGCTGAGATACTTTATTCAGCTTTTGTGTAGGAAGGAGACTGGAACTGCCCCAACTGAATCTACCAGGCTGGGCTGACTCCCCAGGGGAGACCTTGCCTTGGAGGAGGTGGGAATGGGGGTGGATTGGGTCGGGGGAAGTTGGGGGATGGAAGGAGGGAAGACAGGGGAATCCATGGCTAATATGTAAAATTAAATTAATTATAAAGTAAAAATATTAAAAAAATAATAATCCCAGTGCAAAGTGCAAGGTTTCTCTCCTTAATGGTACCAAGCTCTTCTACAATTGCAACTACCTTTGCCAGCATCCTCTTTTTGCTATCCATAACTTTTTAATTTATCCACACTTTTTCCTTTTCCAAACACACATTTTTCAAATATTCTTGTTTTGAATTCTAATTATAAATGCAATTAAAAAAAAACAGTGAAGGATAACCATGCCATAGCTGGAATGTTATGCTATCTTGAAATTTCTTCTGCCCAGGGTCTAGGCCAACACCTGAGGCCATGTTGGTACCTGAGGGTCACACCTGCCACCGGGGCCATACAGATCAGAGTGGCCTGCACTGCCACCTGGGGCCATGTTGCCATCTAGGCCTGAGCTGGGGATGGGGTTGGGAGGAGTAGGGAATGATAACTGGGCCACAGCTGGGGTCTGTGTTGAGGTCCATGGCTCCTGTTACCATAAGCCATAAGACTGTCTGGAGTCTGGGCTGCCACCTGGAGTCATGTTGGGGTCCAGAGACCATGCTGCTGCTGGGCCGGTGCCAATCTGAGAGGCCTGTGCTGCTATCCAGTGCCATGGTGGCATCAAGCTGCTGCTGCTGGCCTCTGGATCCATGGTCCTGCCACATCTGAGGTCTGTGTTGATGTCCACTGCCTGTGCTGAGCTGGTCCCACCCCTCACCAGAGAGCTGACCGTGCCCCTGGGATAACAGATCCCAGGTGACCCTGGTACAGGAAAGATGGCCCCAGCCCCCTTACCACAGGTGTGGGAGAGCAGGCTCCACCCCTTACCTGTAAGATGTGGTCCCAACAGCCTGGTCAGAACAACCCAGCCACCACCAAGTCATACAGCAGGGCTTTGAGTGAGCATTCTCCAACATCTACACCATCTATGACCTGCTGGAGCATGTGAAGGGATTGGCCCTACAGAACCACAGGCACAGGATCTCCATGACTGGGGCAATGGCAGGTTATCCAAGAGGAGTTTCAGTGAGGGTCCAGTATTGATGGTGTACCAGAAGCCAGAGTCCTTGATCCTGACCAACAACACATTACACAATGAACATTTACCAGCAAAGCTGTGTGGACAAAATGGTATACTTCGTAATACACAGCAGCTCCCAATGCCACCAAGATGAATGAAGAGTCAGGAAATATGGAGGAGTGAAGCACTTTTTGTTTGTTTGTTTGTTTTGTTTGTTAATTAATATTCTTCTTTGCATTTTTTATTTTTATTTTTTATTTGTATCTTATTTTTATTATTTCTTTTTTAGTCTCCATTTAGGGGGAAACACTACAAGGATGAAGGGTGGATACAGAGGGACTGGAAAATGAGTGGGACTGGAGTGAATGATGTGAAAATTTCCAAAGAATCAATTTTTTAAAAAATATGTTAATAATAACAAAAATATTCTTCTTCCAAACACCTTGGTTCATCTCTAGCACCTCATCCTACTACACATACACACTCCCAACAAAAAGATGACCTCGCCAGGCGGTGGTGGCGCACGTCTTTAATCCCAGCACTGGGGAGGCAGACCCAGGCGAATCTGTGAGTTCAAGGCCAGCCTGGGCTACAGAGTGAGTTCCAGGAAAGGCACAAAACTACACAGAGAAACTCTGTCTCAAAACACCAAAAAAAAAATTTTTTAATTAATTAAATAAATAAATAAAAGATGACCTCCACTAAAAGTCATCAAAGAACAAGCCTAGCAAGACAGAGAACTTTAACCAAAGGCCACTCTACTTATAACAACACTATAGTAAAATCTGTTGTCTGTGCCTTAAACATTAGCAAGGGCAAAGTGGGAAACCTGAATTTTCACTGCATGAAACTGTACCCAAATGTCCCAACATTCTTGCTCAGACACTACCACAGAAGACTAAGCAGGAAGCCAGGAACTTCATTCTATCTCTGCCAGGTGAGAATGAACATTGATGCTCACCCCTACAATGTCAGTGAAGGTCAGACAGAGAGCCAAATCTGCTACCTAGCAGTAGTGAAGACTCCTTCATCTCATGTGTCAGCAGGTGTCAAATGGAAAGCTGGAATTCTTCCTCCACCTGGCAGGATCAAAGCAGACTTTCCCTGCTGCAGAGGTACAAAGAAATCCAAGCAAACCAAAATCCTGAAGACACAGTCCTCAAAAGGTTAAGGGGAAGAAAATGGGAAAACAGAACATCTCACTAAAGAAATAAACACAGAAGAGCCAAACAAAAGTTTTGAAACTAGGGCTGGTGAGATGACTCAGTGGCTAAAGGTTCTTGCTACCAAGCCTTATGGCCAGAGTTTAATCCCCAGAACCCACATGGTAAAAAGAGATAAACAACTCCACAAAATTGTCCTCTGACTGCTACACTCATGCCATGGCATGCATGCCTGTGTATATGCACATGCACACATACAGTTAATTGATATTTTTATTGAAATTTAAAAATATGTATGAGACAAAAAGCTCAGTAGATGGGCTCCTAGCTTCCTAGAGGAAGCAGAGGAATAATCAGAAGAATTATTCTGGGTAACAGACTAATAGAAACTATACAACCTGAACAACAGAAAGAATTGTTTTAAGTAACTCTATTTCTGATGCTATGATAAAAGATCTGACATTCATATGATCCAAGTCCAAAGGGAAAAGAGTGTTTTTGGTTGTTTTTTTTTTTACTCTTTAATCTTAGGGGCCCCACCACCCAGCTCCCAAATAAATCACATGGATGCTTATTCTTACTTATAAATGTCCAGTCTTAGCTTGGCTTGTTTATAGCCAGCTTTTCTTAACTTAAATTATCCTGTCTACCTTTTGCCTCTAGGCTTTTATCTTTCTCTATTCTATGTTTCTTTCTTTACTTCTTACTCAGTGGTTTGCTGTGTAGCTGGGTGGCTGGCCCCTGATGTCCTCTCTCCTTCTTTTCTTGCTCCTTGATCCTCTCTTCCCAGATTTCTCCCATTTATTCTCTCTGCCTGCCAGACCTACCTATCCTTTCTCCTGCCTGGCTATTGGCCATTCAGCTCTTTATTAGACCAATCAGGTATTTTAGACAGGCAAATTAACACAGCTTCTCAGAGTTAAACAAATGCAACATAAAAGAATGCAACACATCTTTGTATCATTAAACAAATAGTCCACAATGTGGTGATATATTGTGTACCCTAATAAATTTGCCTGAAGATCAGAGAACAGAACAAACCACTAGATTAAACATAGAAGCCAGGCAGTGGTGGCACACACCTTTAAACCTAGCACTCGGGAAGCAGAGATCCATCTGGATCTCTGTAAGTTCAAAGCCACCTGGAACTACATGATATTTACTCAGTCTAGGAGAGAAACAGAGAGAGGCAGTGGTGGCACACAACTTTAATCTTAATACTTGGGAGTCACATTCCTTTAATCCCAGCACTAGGAAAGTTGAGATAGAAAATGATATGGATGGGCGGAGAAAGGTATACAAGGTGTGAGGAGACAGCAACTAAAGCCTTTTGGCTGAGGAAAGCTTTTTCAGGCTGAGGAAAGCTTTTTCAGGCTGAGGAGTCCTAGAGGTAAAGGGTGGCTTGTTCCTTTGTCTCTCTGATCTTTCAGCATTTACACCAATATCTGGTACTGGGTTTTTTATTAAAAGACCATTTAGGAATTCAAGCTACACCACAGCATAAACAAATGTAATACATCTTTAACTAATATTCTACAACAAACAAGAAAGAGAATGGGTCTGAAAAGCACTAAAAGAAATGATGGCTGAAAGTTTCTGTTAAAGGAAAAAAAAGGTGTAGTCCTACAGCTTTAAAAACTGAGTGGAGGGCTAAAGAGATAATGTTAATCCCACTGGTTAATAATAAGACCACTACTACAATTTTGAGCCAACTTTGAAGAAGCTTTTATTAAATACTGGTCAGGAGGATGGGCTTTGACCAGGACCATCCCATGGTTCCCAGAAAATGGCCATGAATCATGTTTTGCAAAGGCTTAAAAAGGCAAAACCTCTGCATTTCACCTATACAATTCACAACATTTCCCATCAGGTTGAATCAAGGGCAAGCATATATCCTGATGTATTTCCTGCCCACGTACTTCCTGCCCACATGTGATCAAGCACAGTCGGTGCATGTTGGTCAAACAAACTTGTTTAGGGGAGTGAAAACTTGTGGCTTATTACCTCCTATAAACCATATCCTCCAGCATTTCAGGAAGTCTCTCGACAAGGAGCTTACAGATTAGAGGAATTTTTGTTTTATGGATCTCTTAGGCACAGTAATTAAAACTTAAATCGTAACCTTGGTTCTCATAGTAGCTCAGTAGTAAAGAATAGGTGCCACTCTTGCAGATGACAGCAGTTAAGTCCCCAGTATATACACCAGGCAGTTCATAACTATAACTCTAGTTCTAGGTGATCTTATGCCTCTTCTGGCCTCCTCAGGTACCTACCATAGGCACATAAACTCACTCAGGGACACACACATAGAAATAAATCTTTTGTCTCTTTGTTTTTGTATTTTAAGATAGGATCTCTCTCCTGGCTGTCCTGGAACTCACACAGATACGACTACCTCTGCCTCCCCAGTGCTGGGGTTAAAAACATGTGTCACCATGCCCAGCTCAAATAAAAAAAAAATTTTGAAGTTGAGTGAACTCCAAATATATGACAAAATCAAGCCCCATGAATACTGTGCTGGATAGTTTTATATCATCTTGACACAAACTAAAGTCATTTGAGAGTAGGGAACCTCAATTAAGAAAATGCCTCCATAAGATCATAACATCAGGGTATAGGCAAGCCTGTAGGGTATTTTCTTAATTAGTGATTAATGGGGGAGGTTCCAGCCCATTGTAGGTGGTACATTCTTGGGCTGGTGGTCCTGGGTTCTATAAGAAAGCAGGCTGAGCAAGCCATGGGGAACAAGCCAATGAGCAGCACCCCTTTATGACCTCTGTATCAGCTCCTGCCTTCAGGTTCCTGTCCTGTTTGAGTTACTGTCCTTGACTTCCTTGGATGATGACCAGCGATATGGAAGTGTAAGACAAATAAGCCCTTTCCTCTCCAAACTGCTTTGGCCATGGTGTTTCATCTCAGCAGTAGAAATCCTAAGACAAATACACATCATAATTCAATATGAATCCATGTCATAATTAAACTTCTAAAATTAACAACAAGGAAACCTTAAAAACAGTCAGAAGGAAATGACATCTTACCTTTGAGGAAAAACAATTAGAATAAGAGTGGATTTCTTGTTGAAAATTGTGAGGACTAAAAGGAAATAGCACATTATTTTCTAAGTGGAAAGGGGGAGGAGGGAATGGGGAGAGAAGAGGGAGGAGAGAGAGAGAGAGAGAGAGAGAGAGAGAGAGAGAGAGAGAGAGAGAGAGAAGGAAAGAAAGGCTGGTGGTAAGGGTGGAGAGAAGGAGGAAGGAAGGAAAACTGTTAACCCAGAATTCTATACCTAGAAAAATATCCTTCAAGAATAGAAGATACACACGTGGTAGTTCATTTCTATAACCTCAATATGAAGGAGACTGAGCCACAAGGGACTGCAAAGTCAAGACCAATCTGAGTTACACAACAAAATCATGGTCAAAAAGACAGAGGAGGATGGGGGCGGGGCAGAAGAAATCATGACATTCTCATATGCAGGGAAACTAAGAGAATGTTTCCCACCCTAAGTGAATGATTAAAAGATGAAAAGAAAGAAAGAAAAAGGAAGGAAAAGAAGAAAGAAAGGAAAGAAAGAAACCTTGGACCAGAGGAAAGGAAGTGAGAGGAGTTAATAAGCAAAAGTATGAATAAATACAACAGATTTTACTTCTTTTCATATTCTGTCACATAAGCACATCAAAAGATGCTCAACATCATTAGTTTCTATGGAACTAAATGCAAATTTGAAATGAACTATTACTATGAACCTATCAAGTGACTTCAATTTAAAAAAAAATAGCAGGACTCTAAATGCTTATCAGGATGCAGGAGAAAAGAAGAGTAATGTGCACAATGCCACTGTACATAGAGATTTATAACAGCTTTAATCATAACAGCACTAAGCTGGAAACAACTCAGATGGTCTTCAGTCGATGGATGGTTAAACACACTGTGATACCTATTCTAGAGTAACTAGTAATAAAAGAATACGCTGCTAATATGCGCAATAGCTGCATGACTCTCCAGAGACTTGTTCTAAGTGAAAATGGCCAGTCCCCCAAAATTGCATACTATTCAGTACCACTCTCTAAATAACAAAAACATAAGCAGAAAACAGGTTCGTGGTTGTTAGGAGTCAGTTACACTGCAGTAACAATGGAGACAGGGAGTAGAAGGGAAGTAGATGTGACTATAAAAGGGCAAAATGAAGGATCTTTGAGGTGATGGGACCATTTTGTTATCTTGATCCATAATGTCAATATATGGTTGTGATGTGTAGTCTGTGTGTGTCTGTGTGTGTATGCAGCAAGGATACACAAAGTTCGAATAACTATTTCATTCATGATTTTTGCACCATTCCCTGAGTCCTGACTGCACACTAGGCCTTTGTGCACAGTATTTCAAGATCCCACAGCACTGGCAGGAATGATTGCATCCATCCCTCGGGTGTGAAACTGAAGCCAGCTGAGTCCATTACTTTTCTGTTGCTATGCTCAAACTCTACCACCAAAGTAAACTTATAGAAGGGAAGATCTAGCCGGGCGTTGGTGGCGCACGCCTTTAATCCCAGCACTCGGGAGGCAGAGCCAGGCGGATCTCTGTGAGTTCGAGGCCAGCCTGGGCTACCAAGTG